GTTGCATAACTGGATAAAAATTTAATGTTTATCCACAATTTTGATTTGGTTGTGCAACAACTTATTTGAAAATATGAAAAATATAGAAAATTAAACAGATGGACCTTGTTCATTAAAATTGCCAAAACTTTCTTAAATTATTGCTGCTTAATTATAATTATATAATTCTATATTAAATATTTTGTTAAAAATTTGCTATATTTATAGAGTAAGAATGTTCAATATCAGCTATAGAGAGTTTACATATATAAACAGTGTGGATATAGGAATCAACTCTGCATGATGACTATGAAGTTTCAAATTTCAATGTGTTCTTTCTAGACATGAGCTATCAATTCAGCAATAAAAGTAACAAATGATCAATATTTTCAGGGATGTTTTTATGCATCATTTTGAATTTTAGACAATTTTTCATTCAAATTATCAGAATTGTAATAATTATTACTTTATCTCTATAAATAACATAGTTGAAACAAATATTCAAATAGGAAAGCAAACATTTCATACGCAATAATCTACTATATTGAGATTGCCTTGGATCTTCAATAAACTTAAAACAACTTATTATTTAATAGAAAATAAAATCAATGTGAAATCATCAAACTACCACCAAAAGAAAGAAAGAGTTAAAATAAGACAGGTGATTCATATACCTTTGGCTCTTTGGTGCCATGGCAGAGAAAATAATAAAGGCTGAAAAATGGAAAAGTCATCTTACTTTTTACTGTGTGAATGTCACCAGCCATGATGGCCCGGGAGGCTGGTAATAGTTTGTTTGATATAAACAAAGACTTTAACAGTTAAGATACAATGTCAGAAAATAAAATTGCAACATCCTGAAAGACAATGCCAATTTTGACCAGGGTAGAGAATGGATATGTTAGAGGGTAGTAGAAAGAAAATGTTCAAATTCTTCAGATATATTTTGAGTGTGATAATCATGTTATTACATCATTTGTATTTGAGTTTTAGACAGTGATGCATGCTGTAATATGGTTCAGTGTGTGAAAAAGTTTAGTGCAAGCAGATATCATGCCACACAGAGATACATGTGGCCCTTTTTGAGAGGTGTTGGCATTGGGGGTCTTTGAGAGGCTTGATGGTTTTTTCAAAGAATTGCTGTAGATGTTAAATATGATGTGTTGATGAAGTTTGATGTTGGCAATAGTAATCAAATAAGACATTCCCATACTCATAATACAGGCACTCACCAAGATTAGTGCATTGTAAGGGCAGCAATGGTAGAAAGCACAGTGTTCATAATACAGATCAGAGCCCCAGGAGTGTCAAGCACAAATCATGTAATTGCAGCAAGATTGCAAGCACACATGCCAGACTTCCACTTCTATGACAACACCATCATGCACAAGTGATATCATGAACTATACTATTCAGTGACAAGAAAAAGTTTGGCCTCTGATGGCTAGTGTGATGTACACCTGAAGTGCAACATCTTGCACAGTGTATTCATCTATGCCACATAACCCAACATCATGGAATGTTGGGTGGGGGTTGTCATGTTACAACTTTTATTTACCTTTGATGCTATTGGAGGGAATGTTGAAAAATGCCATGTACACCTAGAATATTGTTCCCTCTGCTCTTATGCCATTCCCATTATAGAAAAGTGATGTGCTATTTCAGCAATATAATGCCTGCTCACTGCAAGGTGTTTGACAACTTTCCTGACTTGGACATTCTCCATATCAGCCCTGTCATTGAACATGATGTGATTATGCCTGACTCATTCAATTGGCCCACCTACAACACTTTTTGTATTGCAACATATATGGAAAAATGTACTACAGGATAGTATTCACCATTTGTATGAACATATGAATATGAGAGTAAAGGTCTGTGTTAAGAAGATATACTGTGACTTAATATAGGGTCTGTGTACTGTTGGTAAGCACTTTAAGGGTATAGATTTGTATATATGATCCTTTACTGTAATTTAGCTATATTATCGATAAATCTAATGTTAAGTAAATTGAAACACATTCAGGGTGTGGTAACTTTTTTTCTGTCAGTGTATTTTAGCAGTAAACACAGTATTATAAAAATATAGAAACTATATGGTCTCAATGAACTGTTTTTCCATGTCTCTATTCCAGAATTTCATTCTCGTACAAAAAGGAAAATGAAATGCTATGCATATTTTATTATTAGCTTCAACCAAATTTCTTAATCTTTTTTGTTATTTTTCATTTCATTAGGTGATGGATTCTTCAGTTGTTAAACTGCAATAATTCAGGACAAAGAAATAGTTTCAAACAAGAATTGAACTTGTATCCCCTACTTTGAGAATTTGTTATTTATGATTATAATACTGTAATTATTAAGTATTTAAAAAAATATATATTTTTATTATTTCTTGCCTTGAGCCTGAAATCTATATGACATGACCAGGAACTATAACTTATATTCTGTCACATATACAGAATATGAAAAAGGTTATAGCCATATGTCACACAGAGTAACAGGGTCTAATGTAGAATATAAGTGATTATGTTTAAGTATTTTAAAAATAATTGTTTTTTCATCATTTTCTGCCTTGGACCTGAAATTTAGATATCACAGATAACATAAGAAGCTATAATTCTTAACCCTTTGAGCCCAGCGTTCCTGAACAATTTTAACTTTTCTGCCTGAGCTCCTGAGTTAAAATTCGCAAATAATTGGTATGTAATGTTTCACAGTAGATATAAAAATAGTTATAAATTTTTACCCACTGTTCAACTGGAGGCTGGGCATTATGTCATTTTTCTCTACCACCAGTAAAGTGGTAGTCAGGGCTCAAAGGGTTAACATAGAATAGAATATTGAAAAGGTAAGAACCAAATTAAATATGACATATTCTAGGGATCATCTGCAATAAGCTCCCACAATATCTGTGTTGATTTCATATTTTTTAAGCATATGAAATAATAAAAAAAAATACTAATATTTTATGATTTGCATAAAGCAATTATTTTAGTTTTGAAAAAAAGCAATGGAAAAAAAAACATTTCTCTCCTCCTGAATCTGAGATTTCAATATGTCAAATATCTGGTTGACTCAATTATACAGTTTTTAATTTCAGACAGCCCAAATTGTTTTCATAAATAGTTACTATTGAAAAACTAAAACCACCAATTACAGCTTGTGATAGGACAAAAATATGTATGAATGATAACTGACTATGATAAATTATAAATTAGCAATATCAATATGTAATACAATTCCTTTCTAACCTGTTATATGATTCTTTTTTTTTTGTAAATGCCATGGCACTTTAGGACTTAGGCAATCATGGCTCTCCACAGATTCCTTTTCTTTATTATCTATGAATTGTTGTGTTTTCTTGGAGAAGATAGTGGTTTCTTGTTGCTTTCATCATGGTTTTGGATTCAGTGTTGTCTTTTTCTTAGACTGGCTACCATCCAAGGCTAGATACTCCAGTCTACCAGGTTATTTAACTGATAACTTTAGAAAGAAGGGATAGATTTATGCCTTTCCCAAGGGCATTTATGTGAAAGTGAATGCAACAGACTAGGTGGAATTTGGAACTTGGCTTGTTGATTTCACTTTCTACACCAATAACCATTAGAAGCTGAAAACATCTCAGCCTTACCAAGAAGTCCTTAAAACAAAAAAAAATTGGATATCTGGGCATTTGGTCAGATTTTGAACATTGGGTTGAGTCAAGAATTTTTCTGCATTCTCTCATATTATCTATCTATAGTCATTTTTATAAAACAATTTTAAATTTTATCTTTTTATAGTAAATAATATGCTCTTATCCAGAAAACAGATTAATTAAATGAACAAAATTCTATCTGCAGGTAAATTTTAAATCTTATTCTCATGTCTTAATTAGTTAAAGAGTTAATGATTTTTATTCTCTATTTACTTGTCATGATGTTGGGTTGGGCATAAAAACTAGTCAAAAAATAAATCTCACCTACCAAAACTCACTGTATTTAAGAATATAACAACTGTTAATTATACGAAGAAATGTGGAAATTTAAAATTGTTTATATTTTATGGTTAATTGTCATTTTAATCATTTTTTCATCAATTTTAATGAATTGAGAAAACACTTTATTAATCAATTTTGAATATTTCAAGAAGTCGACAATTATACTAAGAATAAAAAAATTATTTAAATTTTTTCCAAATATTCATGAAATGTGATTTTAATAAAGTGAGCTAGGAAAGTAGAATTTTCTATTCAAAGCTAATTTGAAGTTCATCTCTGTTTAACTTTACTACACAAAAAGTAATTTCTCCTGAATACCTTGATGGAAAGTGATATTTGAAATCGTATATCAATAGTGAAGCTTATGAACATTAATCTTGATTCATTATGCAGTGTTCCTGATTCAACCCACTTACCAAAATCTGACCAAATAAACAAACAGTAAAATTTATTTTTTGAATTCTTTCTTGGTTTGGTCAAAAACTTTTCAGCACCCTCTCAAATAATGCATATTTTGAGAAAGCAGTGATTTTCCTATTACGATGAAACTGTCACTCAAATTAGTAGTAAAGTTCAAATTCCAAACTTCATTAAATGTATCTTTTTTAAAATAAAAAAGACTAAATTGTTCTTTTCTTAAGGAATGATTCTTGATAATTATATGGTTGTTTTATTATCATTCTATGAAGGTGTTTGAAAAAATTCTCAGATTGACCCACTTCCTAAAAAAAATCTAATCAAATGACAAATATCAGAATTTTTTGGAAGGGATTCTTTGTCAAACTGAGAATTTTTCAGCAACCTTGTATAGCAATTTTTCTTACAGTGTCTATTAAAAAAAAATGAAGTTCAGCATAAAACAAACTTTTCAGGTATAAAACCAGAATAATCTTCTACTTAACTTTTATTAATTTGTGTTCAATATAAAAAGACCTAAGTTAGTTTGTCCCAAACTTCAGCTACACACTTAGTATTTTTACAATTTCACTAAAATTTGGCAGTTGCTAGAAAGTGATTGAAATAAAAATCAATGTAATACCTTCGCAGACGGTTAACTCTTGAGCGCAATTCTTTATCATACTCCTGAATGCGAGTCATCTCTTCCCAAGCTTCTTCCTTGGGGCCATTATCCATAACACTTCGACAATAAAGCGCTGACCAAAGTGTCTGCAATGAGAATCAATCAACAAAATCAACATGACTTTATCCATTAGGAATTTCGAGAATTTTCAAAAATATAGCTTTTGAGAAAATGAGAATGAATATAGTAGATATTTACTCAGTTTAGCCTGACACAGTGCCAATAATAATAGAGCACTTTGTTAAGATCAAAATCTTTAGACAAGCAATGGTCTTTCAGGCTAGTTCATTAATCTCATTGACAGGTACCCTTATTGAATGAATGCAATCACTGATGAGACACATTACTTACCAAACTCTGAGGAGCCACAGAAGGCCAGAGGACACTTTGATTTGGCTCATACATTGGATTCATATATTTCTGAATTATTTCAGGTCGGTTCACGTAAGACCTGAAAATAGAAAACAGTAATGATGATATTAGTTTCATTTTATCATATACAAAAAGAGAAAATAGATATTAAACTAAGCTAAAGGTTTCAGCAACCTTGTTTAGGAAAAAAAAATGATTATAAAATCTCATCAAAAGATTTGCTTCCAAAATGTTGAAACTTTTGATGTGTTTAGACAATCATTCTTAGAGCAACTTGGAGGCACACTGCAAATCAGTATGATTTCTTATCTTCTGCAAGACTGTTTATTTCCAAGCATATCCATCTGCTCAGACCCATTTGTATTTCTTCAATACCCACAGAGCTATACAGCAACTATGCTGAGTGGACTTTAGTAACAGTTCAAGTATGTGCCTCACCTGGGCTACATACACTTTTGAATATATAGTTGTCCTTCTATACTGGTTAGCAGGTTCAGCCTGCCCTGCTATTTAACCCATAGCTGGGGAAGAAGAGATGGATACATAACTTTCCCAAATATATTTGTGTGAATGTAACAATCTTGACTAGAATTTGAACTTTGCTTGCTGATTTCTTGTTCTGATCTTCTACATCATTTGAACATCCAGACAATGTCAATAGAAAATGGCCATCACTTATTCTGGGTGATAGATTTTTAAATGTTCTGATTCTTATTACAATAGTACAAGCAGATATTGTTTTTTCTTGCAACATGCTCATCTGAATCTGAGTGATATTATCTTTATTTCATTTAGATGAAGCATTGTTAGTCATTATTTGTCTTTGGCTAGTATCTCTTAATTTTGCTTGCTACTGTGATCTTCAATCTATGACTATCATTAAACACCACAGATCACACATAATATGACATGTAAGTAAAAACAATAAAAAATATATCACCAAGTTAGTGGGGAAAAATAATGAATGAGTTTAAAAGCTCAATTTTATTTTCTGCCAACCTTATGGTTGGCAAAAAATCAAATTGAATTCATAATTGTTAAAGCAATTGCAATATATGAATAGGTTTTCCAAGGTAAAAGAGATATGAGTTTGGGTTTCATCAATGGGACATTATACTTTATTTTTGATCTGCACTGTTTTATTGATGCTCATAAACTGAACATTTGTTTGATGGCATATCAACACATTATGGGTCATTTAATGCTAAAATTTTATTTTCTTGTGAGCTTAGGTAATTTTTTTTTTCCAAAAATGTATTGCTGGTAAATCTTTTTTTTCTTGCTATGAAAATTTATTGCTGGTAATTTTTTTGTAATGTATTTTTATATTTTCACCTTTTGACCCCAGTTTTGTGGTTTACTATTTGCCCATAGATGGTACCATCCTGGGTCAGGGTGGACCTGGGAATAGCAACAATTAAGAGGTAGTTCTGTGATCATCAAAACCTCCCAATCAGAGGTCTTACTGCCAGATGTAGTTTATTGTCATACCCAGGATGCTGAAGGTTTGACTAGCTCTGATGATAAGCAACTAAAATTAAGATGAAAGATAGACTAGCTAAAAATTGATAATGATCATCAGAGTGGAATAATTTTTAAACAATTATTGAATTTCATGTTGAAGAGTAGGAATTACTAGTGAAGATATATTTTAAAATATATACAGTATAAAAGTCTCATCTACACTGATTTTATGGGTCAATTTAAAAGTTATTCAATTTGACATTAAATATTTCAGAAATGAAAGAGGAAAGATCATAGCACTAAGTTTTATGCATATCAATGCAGAGAAACATCCTCATTGTTCATATGTTCCATCCATGTTATTCTCAACATCCATATTTTGTGCATATTTACTTTTGTAAAATAATCTTTCTGAAATGCTTACCACAGAGAGACAGTTTTTAAAGCTAACTCATGATTTCTTCTTTCAAATTCGTTGTTACAAAGGAATGTACCTAAAATGAAAAAATGTGGAAATTTAATTCCGACACAGAAATATAAAAATCTCTTCTGTCATAAAACTCTATGTGAGTTAAATTTCAGGGAACACATTTAAAATTGATTATTTCAGATCTCAAAAGAGAAAACCAATTATAAATTCCTTTTAACAAATGAACTTTTTAAAGTTTTGCCAGAGTTTTATTCTATAAGACTCAATAGATTATAAAACATGAACAGATTATTAAGAATAACAAAAGTAAAGAATAAAATAAGAACAAGAGAAAAAAATAAAAGAATAAACATTTGATGCTGCAAAAATTCAATTCATTAGGATTTTAATCATAGCAAATGTGTTGAATGATATATTATGTGGAGTCTAGCAGAAGTTAAAATCTGCTCAGTTATGCTTATTTCTGTAACCAAAAATAGACATGGTGTTAAGGCTATCATGGAACTAATGAGAATCACTTGCAAGAATCTATAAAAAGGAGCAGCAATATCTTTTTTTCCTCCCTCAGGACATTGGTCATGAGGCTCTTCCCTTTTTTTCATCATTTTGCCAGTCTAAGAAGATGTTGAGTGGATGTCTTCCAAATTGCAATATTCACAAGCAGGTCATATTTCACTGTTTTGAAAAGAAACTCAAACTGTTGTACATTTCAGGTACAGAAATTTTTTTATACCAATCACATTTGTACACTTCTTTTTTATTATTTGCTTGTTATAAAATCGTTTTCTGTTTAACACACAAAAAATGGTTTGGTTTTATTTACTGGTTATATCTTGGCTCATAACATCCTCAATATCAGGTGGCTGGAAGTCGTCTCCAACGACCAACTGTGGGACAGAACCAGACAAGTTTCAATTGTGATTGACATCAAATGTCAAAATGGAAAATGGTGATAGATTGGCCACTCACTACACAAGTCTGCTTCTAGTGTCACCAGGCAGACCCTTGACTGGAATCCACAAGGGAAGCGAAAAGTGGGTTGACCACAACAGACTTGATACAGAAATGATGACACAGAGGTGAAGGCAGCAGGCTGAAGTGGATCGCCAGGAACCGTGTCTGTTGGAGAGGTGTTGTGGTAGCCCTAATTTCCCCAAGTAATCAAGAGGCATAATAATAATAATAATAATCTTGGCTCATGCGATTCCTTCCTCTCTCTCTCTCAATCTGCTTTCTACAATTACTAGAATTTTAGGGTGCAGCAGCATCACTTGTGACTTTCAGACATGATGACCATATGTCTTTGTTTAAATGCAATTTAAGGAGTTACCTTTAAAAGTTTCAGCTAAAAAGAGAATATTTTCCACAACATTTATATATTGGTAATAAAGTGCAATAATGTTTTGCAAAGAATTTGATTTACAGTTGTATTTTTTTAATGAATGAATCTTGATCAGCTGACTTGAAACAACATGAATAAAAATTTTCTATACTTTCAAAACTGAGGTTTGCATTCCATAGCTACAGCCATTGAAGGTTTTATTATAAGGAAAATTATTTGAACCTACATAGTTACATATATATTTGGCATCAAGCTGTTTAGAGTGTTTAATAAGAGGTGGGGTTGTAATTAGTTTTGTAATGATTGCCATTTCTTTCTCTTTAAACATTTACTCATTAGCACAGAATTAAAAAAAAAAGAAGCAGTTTTGTATTTGATGAGAAGGAATAAGAAAGAAGACAAATTAGGAAGGGCTAAATGAAAAAAAATAGAAAAAACTTACCAAACTGGGACGAGTAAGAATGTTGGAAAAGGAGCAAAAGGAAATCTTCATTAAATTCAAAAGAACATGGAAACTGTTGCCAAATCTGAAACAAAAAAAAATGATTTAATACATGAAGGTTAATGTATTCATATTTATAAAGAATGAATTTAAGACATTGAATGTTACATATTTGGAATACTTATTTATGAGTTTATGAAAAATGATCAGATAAACATTTGTAAAAGATTTTAAAAAATAAGATAAGTAAAAAAACTGATCATTGTTTTTGTTTATTGTCTTGACTGGTGTTCCATTATATCAAAATAATATATAATCATATTTCATATAAATTAACAACAGCTCTAACAATATACCTTAGCTTAGTTTTGTCAAAATGCCAAAAGAGTAGAGAATCCATTGAGGATTGCACTTATTATTTAGTAGTGAGTGTGATTCTCAGTGTGAGATCAGCTTCCTAATCATTACTTTATAACAAGACAGCTTAGACCCAGACACTAATAGTGAAGAAGAATTAAAAAGAAATAACTTAATTTAAAAGATCAAAGGGGTAAAGGAGTAATAAAAGCCAAGATAACAAACTCAATTTTTTTTGTTTTCCTTTGCTTTTATTTTTATAAATCCCATCATCTTTTTCCTTTCTTGCTTTTCGTAATTTTATTGCTGTATGGAAATGAACAGATAACAGTTGATAATCATGTGTGTAACACTTTTCACAGAGTGAACAGATACTACACACTGAACCTAGGTAGAAATACTGATCCATACATAAATGATCTTATCATTTTTGATAGATATTTTTCTAATAATAATGACAGCATGTCTGACAGTCCAATTTCTGTTTTGTCAAACCCCAAATCAAATCTGAAAGAAAGTAGAAAGATAAATAATTATCTTGACCTTACCTACAGGTTATTATGATTTTTGTTTTTTATTGGAACATTTTCCTATTTATATAATGTATGATTTGAATAATTTTTTGCCCCTTCTTACTCCCCATTCCCTCATTTGGCCTTGTGCCAGACTAAATAATGTTTGATAAAACCTAAAATTTTCTTTGTGGCTAAAATCATTGTTTATCTTCCAATGGAGCCAGAATTTGGTATTCAAGAATAAATAAAAAGCAAGGATTTCAAATGCTTGTTTTCAAGGTAAACAGATCATATTCACTTAAAAAAACTGCTACAACTACCCATCAGTCCCTTATTTGGCCTTGGGCCAGACTTAGTAATGTTTAGTGAATATCAAACTTTAAATAAACTCAAATTTCCACCAAGTAATAATCACATTTTTTGAAATCTGTACTGCAATTTCTTCAAACATTAATTCCATTTTGGCAAGTTCTTGTCAGGACCATATTTGACAGCATATAAGATTTTTTTTGATTTTGTTTAGCAGCATATCAACCTCTATAGCTCATTTAAAGCTGAAATCTAAATATTTTAAACATTATTTTATAGCTTCAACTGAATATATTTTGAATGTAATTGTATGCCTTCAACTACAGATAAAATGTATTGTTGGTCATTCTGTTATAAAATGTATTATTAGTCATTTTTTTATAAATATGTATTGTTGGTAATTTTTTTTATATAAAAATGTATTGCTGGTATATTTATATTTTCATAGTGTTTTGCTTTTGTTTGAGGATTCACTATTAACCCATAGCTAGGACCCTAACAGGTGTTACAACCCAGGGTGGACCTGGAAACTACAACAATTAAGAGGTGTTTCTATTCTCCTCAAAACCTTCAATCTCAAGATCAGAGGTCTTGCTTACAGATGTAGTTTACTGTCATACCAATGTCCATCACTGATTTTTAATATTATGAAATTCAAATTTTGGCTCTTAGGAAAGACAGGAATCTATATTTTCTTCCCCAGCTATGGATAAAATTGCAGTGTAGACAGGTATCTTAAGCCTTGGTTGGCAACCAGTTTAGAAAATGTATAAATCTGAATTCAGAATCATAAGTGGAGAGCTAGTGCTTTAATTACAAAAAAAAATGAAAGAAAACTGTATAAAACCATTATTGTTCATAAAGAAAGAGAGAGAGAAAGAATACGGCACTTATGTGAGGCAAAATTACTGGTAGTCTACAAAATCTGGTTAAACATCAGCCTATCAGATACCTCAATATTCCTTTATAAGACCCAAGAGATATTTTTAGAGATATTTTCTTAGGGGACAAAGAGAGGTGTATCTTATATGCCATCAAATATGGCAATTTTTGATTTATGCAGCATTAAAGTTTTAGCAATGGTTTTGATTTATCAATATGATCAAATGAATAAACCACTTACACTTGTGTAAAATTATCATTGTACATAACAAATGAAAACACGAGGCTGAATCTCTAATATGTAACATTACTCTGGACTTTGTCAATCAATGTTAGACAGTGGCTGTGCAGCACCAGGGTACTCACTGAACATGGACCCTACATTTTCAAGTGGATGTAAGAGACTCTTTTCTCTCTGGAGTGAGTGCTTATATATCTATTGGTCATATGGTTCTTTTCCCCACATGTGCACTTCCTAGACACAGTTGGGTCATCCACATGTTCACTTGTTATAGTCAGGCACTGACTTAGTGGCTATGAGGTCATGTCTCAGTTCAACCTGCCAATGCACCTATCTTCTCTGATGTCACACTGTGCAAAGTCTACTCTGGCATCATCTGGGGTGAGTCACATACTACATTTATATATTGTCTGGAATCTTTGCTGTTTATAGTTATCTCCCTTGCACTAACAACATACTATAATATTTTTTTGATAGAGATAGCTTCTAAGCATTGGTGGCATTAAGTAGCAGTGTCTTTGTTATGACAATTGCAAACTCTTTCAAGATTTTTATAAAGCTGGCATGTAAAGTGATTGGATTGATTCTGTGAAAGAGCAGAGCACAACACTAATAAATGGAAACAAATATATTTAAAAACTCACCTAATAAGAATAAGGACTTAAGAATATATGCCATTTTTATTGATGGCATGTGTAAAGTAGTAATAAATATTTAAAGACCCACATGTGAAAGCCTAATAATAGTAATAATTAGCAAAGTATCTATTTCATATATATCATCCTGTTATACTGATTCACAAATACATTTCACTAGACATGTCAGCCAGATGCAAGCACTAAGAAATCAAAACTCTAAATCCTGCAAAAATCTAAAATACAATAGCCAATCACAAATGTTGCTGAAAAAAAAAAAAAAAAAAAAAAAAAAAAAAAAAAAGGGATGAGCTTGGGAGCCTGTGCCTGTTAAACCAGTTATAAAAACTCATGCTTCACAGACAACAGGCATTTTGGCTCAACACCTTGACCTTGTTACACAACTGGTGGCCCATCCACACACCTCACTGGTGTCGGTTTCAACCCTGAAGATAGATGGATCAACACTGTCAATGACACCCCACTTGTGCTACCATGTGGCTTCACTAATCCACTCTAGGCTTCTCCCCAGATATCAACTGTGACCTCGGTCAACTAATCCTACAAATCCATCAATTCCTGGTCTCACCAACAACACCATCACACTTAATTGCTTCCATTGCCAACAGCAACTAAAGAACATATCAACAATTTTGTGACATTTTCACACAAATTCTAAACTTGATCAATATATACTTGTTGAAATTTTAATCCTTGATTTTCTTTACTTTGTAACCATGCATTCCTTATAACATCCAAAATGATGTCAGGAGTAAATCAGTATTTATATAAATAGCCAGGTGAAAAAAGTGAATCATGCAGAAGATAGTAAGTAATAGATAATGCTTTTCAATTTGTATGTATTTTTTTTAATTGAAATCTCGCCAAGGCAATAAAGCCACTAAAACACAAGGGATTACTGGGTATGAAAGAATTAGAAAACAGAAACATTATTGAAGAGCAAGAACAACAGAAGAGAAATCAGAAAGACAGAAGAAAATGATTGACATTGCATTTAAATTTTTGAAGATCAAACTTGGCTGGAAAGCCAGAAGCTGTTAACATAGAACTTATGGTTACATCTTGCCAATTCAACTGTAAATTAATAAGACCTTGTTGTTAATCTAGTACTGCATTTAAATTCAAAGAGCACATCTGAACAATTACCATGAAAGTATTTCTAGAAAAGACACAAGGAAGCAACTTTATGGCAGTGGAAAAGTAACTGGTGCCAAGACGCCAGGTCAGGACCAATAATATCACTGTTTTATCTTTGGATTTTACCAAGAATCTCTAAATATATAGCAGAAGCACCAGGCCATATGTGGCAGCAATATTCGAGGAATGGATGAATGGTAGACTTATAGATATGTATGATAGATTCAGGAGAGAAAGATTTTATTCATAGTGAAATCTAATCATAATTTTTAGATGTATTAAAATGAGAGAAATTAATAAATAAAGATTCTGGAATTGAAAACAAAGGCAGCTGAGGGAAAGAAGAGAAGAAAGAAAAGAAATCCTGGTTTCATTCACCTGCCAGACACAATCCAAGAAGAGAAGAAATACAGGGGCTTCTTTTCGCTGTTTTGTCACAGCAAATGCTGATTTAACACATCTGTCTTGGAAAGGATGACCAGCTTGAAGCCATTCTCGTTCAACAAGGGCCTCAAATCTGTGAAAAATAAATAATTCTCTCATACAAAAGTCACATTTTAGAATAGAACATGATTGAAATGTTGGTCAGGAATGGAAAATATATTTCTAGCACTTTTAAATCTAATAACTGATTAAAGTTTTTTTTTTGAATGTTTGAGGCTTACCCTCGCACAGTGCGGCAATCATGATCCAATAAAAGTTGGGCCAAAGACGTTACTTGTAGAGTTGTATCGAGTCCTTCAGATCCATGAACTAAGACCGAAGCTCCTGATAAAAAGAAAGTTCCAATAATATATTTATAACAAGGGTGGATTTTAAAAATACATGACATGAGCTTTTGTTTCAAATATGGAAACTGGTAAACAGGGTTTAAATTCCAATTCATGCTGTTTATATTCACTTCATGTTAATGTTTTGATAAAAAATCTCATCACTGGTATGTCACAATAACCGACTGAAAAGACAGCAACTCAGGAAATTTTTCTATCATGTAACCCTGAATAAACCTGGTTATTGAAAATTACAAGGTGGTATTTAAAAGTTCCTGGATTATATATGGTTATAATGCTTATTTGTACCCAGTCTACTGAATCAGTCTGCCTATAATTTTTATGATTTTTAATTTCTTCAATTATTACATCACATTTTGTAAAATTGTATTAGAACAGCTTTGAAATCTTTGTGATGGTTGAAAAATTCAAGTAACATGTCTGCATGAAATTTTATATGAAACTCAGCAAATCTGATACCAAAATCCTTGAAATGCTTCATCAGGTTTTTGTTGAATATTCATTAGGTCAAATACAAGGTTTTGAGTCACATGAACATTTCAAGAACAATAGCCTAATAGATTAAAACATTGGTTTAGAAATTTGGTGACACAGTAAGTGTGAGTTCAAACCTTGGGCTGGAGTTGAACTCAGTGAAAACAGATGAGCAATAAATGAGCAGTACAAAAAAAAATAAAATAAAATAACAACCAGACAAGATATCCCAGCAGTGGAATGAGAACAGACTACCCTCATAGATTAAATGATGGGTTCAGTTTGGAATTTCTTGTAGGTTACCCAGATCAATATATACCTGATGTTGGCAGGAGGGCACAACAGCTAAAATGTTGTGATAACAACAAAGATGAGGATAATAGTCTGAATATAAATAATGATTTACTTTTATTGAACACAAGTTGGATAAAATTACAATTTTAATGAGATATATATATTAAAAATCATGTAAATTAAGCAAAAAGTAAAACACAGACCTTCTTTGTCAATGAACTGAGCAGCCATACATGCGGCATTGATCACATCTTTGACATTGCTCAACCAACCACTAGAGTCCAACTTTGATAGCCATTTGTCCGTTGTAGCAGTTGTGTCAGTGCAGGCTGAAGAGAAAATTTAATAGAAAATAAGTACAAAGAAAGAAGAGAAAAAACAAGAAAGAAGAGAATTACGTTTTTTCAAAGAAAGCTTTCTAAAAGTAAGGCTGTGTAAAACACTATTACTCTTTAAAATTCTTTGTCTATATATATTTTTTTTTAAGCATTATGCCCCTAGCAAAGCAGGAAGCCACTAGGATGCAGGGGGTTGCAGAAGATTTTGAGCAAGAGCAGATAGGAGTGATAAAAGAAAGGATGAAGAGAAGGATAGTGGATAGATCAAGGTAACTGGAGATGTTGATTGACATGATAGCAATTTTCTTCTCAGCCTGCTAAAGATAAAAAAAATCAGCTGTTATAATAATTTCCCCAAAGATCATGAATCATAAGGTTCCGATTAAAATTATTAGAGCTAATAGATTTACTCAGTAAAAAAAGCAGATTGAAAAAGACGGGGAACAAATTGAAAAAAAAAAAAATTGGAAATACTGTTTAAAACCACAACCCCTGAAGACTAGAAATTTTACCAAGAACCATCAATGTTGGGATAAAATTGATATTTAAAAGTTAAGTAATCTTTTCATATAATATTATTAATGATCTATTTTTAATATTGTTTTAATATTTTTAATATTGAGCACTATATATATAAATCTGCTGTTTTTAAATCTTATATATAAAATATATATGATAAAATATGGTTTTAAGATATGCTATACTTATGGGTTACAGTGCCCAATTCAGGGATAGATTATATATAATATAAAAGTGGACATTGAAGTCAACACCCAGTGGCAACAGTCTGTTCACCAATATCCACTGATATATATATATATATATATATATATATATATATATATATATATATATATATATATATGTATATATATATAATTATTTATTTTTAAAAAAATATTATAACATAAATATGTTATAAAATCACTACAAAAATAGCCATTTTGTTTCAACACCCTCGGTGTCTTATCAAGTGATGATGTTAAAGATAAAATAAATGGTTTTAAAAGTTTCAAATTAATTAACGATCCTTCACTAGGGGAAAACATTGTTACAAAAGCTAGAATGACCAATCAAAATCCAAGAATAGTAATTGTTGGTTATTGGAATTCATTCTGTATATACTAATTATATACCTGTGTATATATATATATATATATATATATGAAAAAAGACAAAAGGAAAACTTATCTTAGTCAACGCATTTCATCCTCTGAGAAATGTAAGCATTTTATTTTGTGACAGGTATTTATATACAAGAGCAAAAATGTTATTAGTTTTACAAAATATTTGGTATAGGGTATACGCTATCTGAAAATTTTTGCATATATATTTATATGCAAAAGATTGTCTCTTAGATCTGGTCTTCCAACATATTTCCACTTACTATTAGCACATAGAATGTTGAGTTATTTTTTTCTTAGTTTATTGGTTACATTGTTGCTTATTTGTTCTGTTGTTGTAAATAAGTCATTTCTGACTTTGTTATAACATTTTTTATGCAGAGTTTGAGTTCAGCATTTCTAGCTTTGTTTATGCTTGAAATGGCTTATTTACAACAAATGTTAGGACAAATAAGCAACAAGAAAACCAATAAACTATGAAAAATACTCAACACTATGTATTAATAGCAAATGGAAGACCAAATCTAATAGAAAATCTTTCAGATCTAAAGCCATCCAATACTGAACTGGGAACCCTCAGTTTCAGTTTGAAATTATATATATATGTATTTCCTTTGGTGTAAGAAAACCAGTGGTCAATAATAAATAACAGAGCTATATTTCTAATAAAAAATCACGTCTCACTTTTTTTTAACCATATATAATAATTTTCTCTTATTAAAAGTACAAAACTACTTTTTGGGCCAATTTAAAAAATTACCAGGGTTTTCCTCAAACTTTTGAACTGTAGTGTATATATATATATATATATATATATATATATATTTGTTTGAATAAAAAACAGACCACGTTAAGATTCCATGTAATAAGCTATTTCACCATAACCCCTTTAACAGGGTTCTGGATCATCAGACTTTACTTCCAAAAGCTGAAATGAAAAATGAAAAGAAATTCACACATTTTTGACGGACCTCATCAAGTATACGTAAAATTAACGAAGTGAGGAAGTGAGGTGGGAGAGAGGATATGAGTGTGTCATATGTATCATTTCAATTTCCTATTTTTAACCCCAGTGTGTCGGCTAGATGTTGCTCAAATTTAACGCATCTCGTCTCTAGATATAGATGGCTAAGGGGTGAATGAGAAGAACAACATTAAAGGAAGAAGCTACAACAACCCCAATCAATTACACGACAGGTTTCATTCAAATTCTTAGACACTGTTAATTCGCGTTACTTTAATGTGCATATTTGGGAGGTTAAGGTTTGATAAATATCTAAATGTTTAAACAATCTACGAAGAAATTAATTTGAAATTCGGTGGAGTTTTGGGTATTTTCTATGAAATAGTCAATTGGATTCATAGACAGTACATTGAAAGAGTAATCCATTTTATATTTAGTAATCTTTTTTATTCTACTAAAACTTTTATCTTATTGCTTGTTAGGTTGACATCTATTCGTTTGATTTTTGTTCATTAAGTAAACTCGTGACTGTTTCTGAATTTTGTTCATTAAGTAAATACGTGATTGTTTTTATGTACCCAATTATCAACGGTTATTTTCATTTAAATAATTTTATCATCAATAATGGGGTAGTATATTTCAATCTCAATTAAAATACCAATCTAAACTTTACCTTCGTGCTATTTAAAACTCACTTCCAATTGGAGAATATTAGAGGAGAGATTTGGATGAGATGTCACTAGCAGAAAATTAGGTCCTTCTTTTACAATCTTTTATCTACACATGTCTTAAACCCCTATTTATATCCACATACCTATATCTTATATGCCTATGAGTTCCTATATACACCTGCACACACATTCACATGAAAAAACCATATGTATATTTCCATATTTACACATATACACCTGCAGAGAAAACGCATATCCATATATCTCCATACATATCTCCATATACACTTATACTTACATATATACATATACACATAAGGACACCTGTATATCCATATACATCCATATACATATGCACATATATATTTACACACCTATATGTATACACATATACACATACACACATATATGCATACATACATACACACATACATTCATATACATACGTAATATGCAGCATATCTACATACACACATATGCGTTAATTTGCACTTACACATATCTACACACGTACTTGTCTCTATCCTCATGTCCACCCGTGCACCCACTTATGCCTGCGTTCGAAGACTATCTCAGTATTTAATTACATTATCCATATCTTTACACATATAATATTACCCGCTCTTTCATATTTATGGCAAAACATATAGGTACCTATCTAATTGTACACTTCCACACTCACAAAAAAAAAAAACCCTGGTATGCTTCCTTTTCCATATAAAAACATATACATGTACATATCAACAGGTGTCTCAGTGTTCAAATACATTACCATAGTTGTATATATATATATATATATATATATATATATAAATCAATGTGTATGTTGAGTTCATTTTTTGCGATTGTTGGAATTTTCAAAAAATGCTGTTACAATTGTTAAACCCTTTCTGTTACACAGCACAATTCATATACAGTGTAACATTTTAATTAATGCTAAAGGAATCTAGCAAAAAAAAGTATGCAAAAAATTGTATAAAGATTATATATTGAATAGGATAGAAATTAAGAGCTAAATCATACATGTTTAAAATGATTGATATCCATCTTGAATTTGTGCAGATTAATTACAAGGAACAGACTGAAAGAAGCTGAACAGAAAATACTAATTCCCCATATTTATCATCACTTTTTTTTTTTAATTGATGTATTCTTTACTTTCTCTTACAATTTGTTCAAGTTTATGAATTTTACTTGCTTTATATTCTGCATGCTTCTGCATGCATAAATTGCATGTTTAATTCTAGAACAGTGTTTCTCAACCTTTTTAAGCAATGGCACACCTACAAGCAAATGAAAAATGCAAAATTTTTAAAGGGTATACATTTAAATGTTATGAAATAAAACTATAGATTAAAAAAAAAATATGTACACAAATATGAACTTACTTTATTTCAATGTTTCTATTCAACTATTTGTACAGCTTATTTAATATTTATTTATTCAAATACTAATACTGTATCATTACTACTTTCACACACACACACACACACACACACACAGACACATGTATGAATGCCATGACAATATACTGGTGTTTTAACAGTGACATCCGAGAACAGACTGGATGATGATCCAGGAATAGACTGGTTGACAAATTGGAAAGCGAAATGACAGTGAGGAGAGACCGTAAAAGTGTATTTCTGGGCTAGCAACCTGACTTACGCAATTCAGGAAACGCTACAGAAACTCATGTGAATAAATACCCTAAGGGGATCTCGAGAGGTGAGGAGAATGAGATCCCCATTAGGCCGGATGAAATGGAAACAAACCAAGCTATGGATCTACAGACAACGAGAATGACATGCCCATGTGGAAAGATGTGCAAAAATATGCGCGGCCTAAAAATCCATCAGGCAAAAATTAAGTGTCAGGTGCAGTCGAACCAACAGCAGTGTGCAGGAATTTTTCCTGGTGAGATGCAGGAGTTGCAAGGCCGGGAAGCTCACCACAGTGCCCAGTCCCTCCAAGCAGAGGTTCAAGCAGAGCCTGATACTCCATTTCGAAGAAAGATAAAATTGCCACTAGCCAGTAACAAACACGTCTGGCACGAATTCAACGTGGACATCGGTGAGATCCTTGAAATAACATCAAGAGGTTCGGTGGATAAACAACTAGTGACAATGTCCAAAATCATCACTAGTTATGCAGCAGGTAAATTTGGATATAAGGAGTGGAAGGAAAAGAAGGGTATTAGCAAAGAAAATGGAAAAGGGTTTAACTTAGGAACATTAAGATTACCTCCTCAGTTATCCATTGAAACTGTATCCACTGGAAAAAAGAAAAGAAGCCAGTCCCCACCATGGGTCATTTAAAAGATAGTTCGCACAGCAGATTGGTTGTTACAAACATCCAATCGGATGTGCAGAATACGTGGTCTTTCTTCGTCTAATTCTTTAAAAAGGCGAGAGTAGCTGTTAGCATTTGGTTGTGAGGGGGAATCAGGGATTGATCTCCCCTGATTGGGTCGATTTAGTGGTGGGCAGTATGATGTTGAAAGACCCGAAACTCCCTGATAAACCAAGTCAAAACATCACTGACGACCCTACGGGCACCTACTTAAATGCGTATTTTTGAATTATCATTACTACTTTGACACACACACACATGTATGAATGCCATGACAATATACTGGTGTGTCGTAGCATGGTGATTGAGAATAACTGTTGTAGAATCATCAACAGATCATAAGGTAGTTTGCTGAAGAATGAATTTTTCTCTCTTTTTTTGAGCTATGTTACATCTACTTTTATGAAGGGTTGCTGAAAATCTTTTCATTTTACCCACTTCCCCAAATCTTAACAAATATCAGAATTGGGGGGGGGGGAGATGAGCTTTTTAATCAGGGTGAGAACTTTTCAACAATCTTCACTTTATAAAATTAATTAATGATGGGCTCATTGTATATTTATGAGAACAAAATTATCCTTAGATAAATCAATTTAATCCAAGTGTGTTTACCAAAAGTCATTATGTTTTCAATAAGATAATATTTACAGGCCGCAGATAATGTCTACTTAATTATTTTCAACTTCAATTTACAAGCTGTGTGTCTGTTTTGTTAGCAGTTTTAAAAAAATTTTGTTGTATAACATATACAGCAACAAATTTAAACAGTTTTTTTTTTTATTATCAAAAATAGAATAAAAAGTTAAGGTTTAACTTGAGTACCTTCAATCAGTTTGATGAGGGATTCATGAAGAACATGTCTTCTGTCTATTGCTTGGTTGATTCTTCTCCATTGAGAGTAATGAACTTCAGGTTCAAAACCTCCACCTAGAAAAAAAGAAGTTCAAATTTTCTTCTACATAAACATACAAGTCTTGATCATCAACAAATATCTATATTTATTTTCTGATAAAAATATACTGAAAAAGAACATCATCATCATCAATATTATTAAATAATAGAAATAGGTTTCTGGTTGGGACCCGGAAGAAAATGAATATACAACAGAAATCAAAGGAAATAATAATAATGATGATGATTAGTACAATAACATTCATTATTTTTCTTTTTAATCAGGAACAATAAAGGTATAGTATGTGATTCACACCAGAAAATACCAGAGGGTTGAATTGTATTTAATGTCAATAAAGAATCTTTATTCTAAGAGGAGTTGATCTGTAGTGGCACCAATATCTACTTGGCTCACCCTAAGTGATACCAAAGTAGACTTTGTACTTAGTGTCATATCAGAGCATTAAAAGAACCAGGTGTATAGGTTGACCTGGAAGGTAACCTCATAGCCACCAGATACAGAACTGGGCCTCAAAGGATGTCCGTGGTTTCTCTGACATGTAAACAGAGCTTAGGATATGCACACATGAGACAATCAGATAACAGCGAGTTATATACCTCCATTCTTGCATCTCAAGAGAAAAGCCAGAGTCTCTCACATATAAGAAGATCAACATTTGAGAAAAGTCCCCAAAATGACACACCCACATGCTGACGTTGATTGACCAGAAGTCCAGAAAGGATTATCATATATATCTGTGTATAAGCCAACTTCCTGTATAACACAACCACTGAACTTTTTGCATGAATTTTAACCTACCCAGAAAAACAATTTCTCTATGTATAGTGAAATCAGTCACTAAAAATCATGAGTTTTAACATCTTCAATAAAATTACCTGTTTATAGTGTGACCTCCTATTTTTTGGCATCAAAAACTGATCCTAAAAACTCACTCTATACCCAAGTATATATATGGTAAATAATAATTTTGTGTTAAACAGATTTTGATTTATATTCTTAGTAGACATTATAAAAGGTAACATTACAAGGTTAATATTTAATGTTGCTTTTATTAAAGTATTTTGGCCAGTCAATTCTCCATCTATCTTCAGGTGATTATGGCATTTAGTGAGTATTAAATAACATCAAAAATGTTGGAACACTACAGCATTGTTGTAAACAAATCTTCTAGACTGAATGCCATCAGTACCAGATTTACCTATAGGTTTAGCAGGCTGAAGCCTAGGGCCTCAGAATCTAGGGAGACCTCTAGCCAAGGTGTATAATATTTTTGACATTGACTTAGGCCTTTTTACACATGCTGTTATAATGCATTGTGACTCTAAATAACTTTTCAGAAATTTTAAACACTTGTCACCATCCTCGGATTTACTCAAATTGTTTAATTTAACACTTCCATTTTCCTCTACTTGTGAGAATGTGGGATTTGAAGGGGCCTCACAAGTGGAATAGCCTTGGGCCACTCTTCACCTAAATCTGACCTTGGATGTTATACTCATCTGAAGAAGCCAAAAAGATATAAAAACTGCAATGATGAAGATAATAACCCCTTTTTTATCCTGAATGATAGCAATACTTCACCTGAGAATTTGAAACAACAAGAAAGTGGAAAAGGTGCTATAACTGTCAGCCTACCTTTTGTTTGAGCTATTTTGGCATTGTTTTGAGAACGTGTATCTAAAATATAACCCCTTCTACCAATACCAAGGACAGCATTTACAAGTCTTTCATCATCTTTACAGCGGCGGCCATTTGTGCCTGTCATGGGTTGGCTACTTCGCATCATCACAGCCTATATAAATGCAGAAAAAATAGAATCAATCAAGCCAACTATTTTTTGAAAATTTATTTAAAATGTATTTTATAAAACATTAGACTATATTAAAAATAAAACTAATAACAGTTTTAAAACAAGCCAGATTTGCTGATTTATAAATTCTAAATATAGTTTAAATTGAGGATTAACAAAGGTGAATTGCCTTGGGATTATCCAATCATTTAGCTTGGATACATACAAATGTGGAGCAATAAATCTGTTGCCTGGTATAGTTAATAGTTGAATTTTGATCTGAAATTTTTATTGTATAATGTTTGATCTGAGTGATTAATGGAGAAACTTTGAGTTAAGTGCATTGATGGGGAAATAAATTTTCATCATGTAAAATAAATCCTTTTTTGCATCATTAGGCTAACAGACTTACTGGAGCATCAATATATTTTAGTAACACATGTTTAATAACAAGAAAAATATTAATAAAAAATATATCATTTTTCTAAATTTTGTTTTCCATGGATCCAAACCTAAATTTCCTAAAATATTTAAATTCATAACCTTGACAGTTTTGTTTACTGTTATAAACATAATTGGTCTGCAATGTCTATGGTCAGGAAGTTAATCCCACAAATAAAAGCTAGTATAGAATTCACTCCTCACTGAGTGTCCAACTGTTGTGATCCTGTAACAGACTAAGTTAGCTGAGTAAATATTTATGTTCTCTCTGTGTGATATTTTAGGTAAAATAACAAGACAAATAAACAGGAAAAATATTTAACAAAGATAAAAATTATTAAAAAGACCCATGAAAATTTCATGGCTTTTCCTATTTGAATTTTCTGATAAATCTCAAGTTAATGATTGAATAAGCTCATTGTTAGTTCTATGGCAATAAAATATCTGTAGAAATTCCCCTATCACATCATTAAATATTTAAGCTTAACAACTTTAACAAAATATTGCAATAGCAATCATAAATATGAATGATAGTCATTATTTTATATTTCTTTTTATCATTTTCTCACTGAAACCAAGAAGTGTCATTTCCCTATTTTCCACACAGAAATGGAATAGTCCATTATTTATGAGGTAGTGGCAGGGTGTAATGGTCATGCAAATTAACGAAAGGAGAGACAAGTACAATTATAATAGGATGCTAAAAATTTTGCTATTTATGTGTTTACAATTCAAATCTTTTCTGGCAGTACGTCTTAGAAAGTAATTTGTAGGCCTTTATTAGAAAACAAATCATTTTGATGTATTAGATAATTCGTATTAGAAAAGATCAATATGGTAATTTCAGAAACAAAGAAAAATGACATAGCACACATACTGATTCAGAAATGTCCTTTTACCTTTGTATCCCGATGGTAGTAACATAAAACTGGGAACCGTCCATATTGTCTAAATCCTGCTACACGTATCAGAGTAGTATCATCCACAGATTTCGGAACAATCACAGCATGGGGGTAAGATGGGCACACCTGTTAAAGCAGTAAATAGAAATAGTGAATACCATGGGGAAAAGCAGTAGAGGGAAAGTAGAGGCTCTTTAACATAGTTGCTAACAAACTAATGACTGCCAAATGCAATCCTCTAACAAATATAATAACATGAACAAGTTTTCAACTCTGAAGCGCCACAAGACAATTTGGCTTCAAAATCAAAACAAACCCTCATTTCATCTTAGGAAGTCTACAGATACTGCTAAATGATTATCAGCTATTTCTGCTGCCAGTCAAAACACATACCAATCAAGTCTGTTCTTGGTCACCCCCCACCCTCCATGATCTCCTGATCACATAACCAACAAGTAAGTGGTGGTTGTTTATATCTGGTACATCTTTGCTGGACAGGGGTTTCTTCATCATTTTTATCTATCTCGATTTGCACTTGGAAGTTATTGAATATGTGAAGGTCTATCTTGAGTTCACTGTTGCTTGAGGATTAATCATCTCCATTTGTTACAAAAAGTTGATCCCATGTTAGTCAAAGATCCATGATGTAGCATGCCATCAACTAGGATGGACTGCAGACTAATGATTCCAGTTACTTTTCCTATCATAAATTTGGAGGTACCTCTCAGGGGCTGTTTCACCCACACAATGTCTTCTGTCTTGTATATATTATGCTTTATTGTTGGCTTTGGTGATGTTACTGCATCAATGCTTTTCAATTGAATTTCATAAGAGTAGATTGTGTTGGTGGGTGCAGTAGGGCCCAAGGTGCTATCTTTCAGTGTTGTGTTGTACCAATACACAGCTTCCTGTATTGCACACTAGTTCCTTGCAGCAATTGGCTTGACCGTCTTGTGACATCTCTTCATGAGCACATTCCCAGATAGAACATGTGCACACTGAAAGTGTTGCTAGATTCCCCATTCCTCCATGAAGGCCTTGAATATACTGCTACTGAATGCAGTATCATTACCTACAATGAGTTCATGCAGTGAACACCTCTTGCCGAATATAAACTCCAGCTAGAGAGTCTTGTTGATAATAGTTGCCAGACCAAGAAACATATTGGTTTGCAGTCTATCATGGTCAAGTAGTGCTTTTGTCTGTAGTGGGTTATGTCCATTGCCAACTTGATCTATGTGTTGTGTACTTCCAGTTTGCCACCTTGCCTACATATTGGTGGTAGATTGATGGATTTGCATTTGAAAAACTTTCAAAACCAAATTCTTAACTCTTGCCCAAAATGTGGAAGGGATGATCCGTTTTGCAAAGTACAAGCTGCACCTCATACCAGAAAGGATTTCTATGATTTGGTGAGAATCTAATTCATGCACTGCACATTTGTGGGATGAGTTCAGCTTACTTTCTTAAGCAGTTGAGCCACCTCTGTGACACTGAAGGAAGACTGTTGGCTTTATTCTAGTTAGATCTAAACTAGCTTCCCATCCATGACCAAGACATACTCCTTCATCAGTCCATAAAGAGTCTCCAGCATTTCACAAACTACTTTTGTATTCATCTGTGTTTTGCCAGTCAATGTGTCTGTAGGCCAATGTTGAGTACAGGTGGAATCAGTAACTAGGTGCAACACTGTTACCTTTCATTGGTGAGCTAGGTTTACGTGCTTCAATACTGCATAAAGTTTGGCAAAGTTAATGTGCCAGGCATTGCTTTCAAGTCGTAACAAGCATGCATCTTCAACAATATCCCCATTTACTTCCAGCACTACTCTTGTAGCCAAAGAACTTGTACTCCCATCTTCTTACTGGTCATACACACCAGTTCTCTTTTGCAGGAACTTAATGCACTCTCACAACAGTCTTGTGAATCATTCACTTCAAAGTGGCATTGCAAGCCACGCCATCCCATTCTTTGGTTACTATGTTCACACATTGCTTTATAAATTCAGTCACTAATCTGAGCCAGCCACAAACTAGAAAGTAACTCAAGTGACTCATCACACCTGTTCCTATTGAACATGTATGGGACATGATGAGATGATAACTGGCTTATTCATTAAACCCACCTACAACTCTTGCTGCATGGTGTCAAGAAGCATGGAATAATTTACTGAATAATGGTATTTGCAATCTGTACAATTGTATGTATGTGAAATTACAGGTATGTGTTAATGCCCAAGGAAGATATACAGTGTTGTATTAATATGGAGTACTGTTGATAAACCCTTTACTTTGGAACCTATATTTGTATTGGCCTGTATATGTGATCATTTGTTTTAATCCAGCAAAAGATTGCAATTATATTTCTATCCCCAAATTTAAATATATATATATATATATATATAGATTTATACACGTTTCCTCAATATTACTCAATAATAAGCAAATTGTACATAATACTGCTTCTACTGATCTCAAATATATTAATCTCCTATATCGTAATCAAATGCATACTAATTATAAACAAGATGAACACATACTAAAAAATTTAGTAAATTCTAATATATCAACTACAGATCCTAGCAAAAAAATTAAATTAATCATATACTACACTAAATCTAGTATATCCAACTTAATACTTCACAATGATTCTTCTCCCCGGTTAGCGATTTGCAAAAAACCAACATAGTTTATAAATTCAAATTGCCCTTTGGGAGAGTGTATCTCCAACGAATTAAATAATATTTATGTTGGTCACACCACAAACTCGCTTTCATGACGCTTGACACTACATTTTAATGAAAACTCTAACATTTTTAGGCATTTAAAACAACATGCCTGCCCGCACACACAATTCCGTAAAATACTTGTCGAAAAAACACAACTATACTTCGACATGAAAACAATAGACAAAAACTAAAAATACTTGAAGCATTATACATCAAACAGTTAAAACCCAACCTAAACAAAATCAACTATGGAATCTCTACAAATATTCTTAAATGTCTATAATTTCTATAATTGGTAACAGAAGCCATTGGTTTATACCAACGGCTTTCCTTATTTCATTCTACAATTCACTCTTGTGTAGTCATGTGTGACGTCATGAGATGCGGTGAGATTTTCGCTTCTAGCGTCTTATATGCTGCGTGTTCATCGTTGCTTAGTGATCCACTATGTAAACAAAACAATGACAGTCTATCATCACTGTCGTGTCCGTATATTGTTTGATATGTTTGTAATTACATCTTTGATAATGGCTTGAGTAAGTCGAAAGCTTAGATTTTATTAAAAATAATGGATAAATATTGTGAATTTCTTTTTTCGGTTAATGATAATGTTACCAAACTTATCAGAAGATACGAAAAAAATTTTACATAAAAATAAATAGACAACACTTGTCTATATTATTTAATGAAACGTGTATAAATGAAAATATGCTGCCTAAATACACACAATATATATAGATATATATATATATAGATATATATGGGATAATGATATATAAATTCTTATATATCAAGAAAAATTATTTTGTGAGAAAGATCTATGACTAAGTGGAAAAAGTTTTTGAGTGATGCATTTCGGCCTTTAGGACTTCATCAGACTAAGTTTGTTTATGTTGAAGCAACTACTCATGTGCATGGACAAGAGACAATGGGAATTTTAATTATGAAATAATTTATATATATATATATATATATATATATATATATATATATATATATATATATATTCTTATGAATCCCCCCATCTTTTCTTCAACCCTATTTGATAGTGGAGGAAGAGGAGGATTGTAATCTGTGTTATTTTTTTTTTTAACATTTTTGCATTTTACTCAATTTTCGTAAAATATATTTCTTTCCCAAGGGTCTCTTTCCGATTGATCAGACACAGCCAGGCAGAATCGATTAAGGAACAAACACGATAGGCGACAAACAACAATGGAGATAGGAAATATAAATTTTTTAACAAACATGAAAACATGGAAAAGATAAAATTAAAAAAAAAAAATGGCCAAAACAAAAATGACAATATGTCAAGAACAAACATTTAAACATTGTGGACAAAATTGTGGTAGGAGAACATCCTATAAGAAAGGTAAAATAAAAATCAATGTATGGCCTTGTGCCATACTTCCACGAATTTGCAGAACATGTGCTATACTTGCACGAATTTAGAAAACATCAAAATTTTAAGACAAGTGGAAAGAAACATGTAATAAAAAGATCTCATGCTAAACTTGCATGAAAGTACAAACATGTAAAAGAAGTACATTTAAACAAAAATGGAGCACAAGAAAAACAACAAAATTAACTCGTAATAAAAGTCCTTTTCCACTAATAATGTCTCTTATATCTATTTTTTTTTTTCCTTTTCTATTTCCTTTTATAAGTGTCTCCCTTTGAGGTCTTTTCTTACTTCCACTCTTTCTCTTTTCGTTCTGTCTAGGGGCTAGGCCAATGATTAAGCTGAAAATGCGTTCCCTCTCTCTATCGTCTCGGTATAGCAGCATTTCTCACTTGAGGTGATCTGTTCTTTCTTTCTTTCTTTTTTCTTTTCCCTTTCATCCTTTGTTTAAGGGCTTGGTAACAGTTGAAACTGCTTTCTTTCTCCTTCATCTCGGCGTGACATCCTTCGAGATATTTTCTTCCTCTCTTTCCTTTTCCCATAAGTATCTCCTTTTGAGATCTTTCCTCACTTTCTTTGTTTCTTTTTCTATAAGCTGTTTTCTGTCTCTCTTTCACCTTGGTATAGTGGCATTCTGCATATGTTGTCAAATGGGTCCATCTATTCCACTCGGAGACGAATTCTCCTCGCAACCTTGCGAACACATTTTTTTGGCCCATATGCTGAGACAAGTTTTGCACCAGGACAAATTTTGCAAACACGTCTTTTAGGCCCATATGCCTAGACAAGTTTTGCATCAGGACAAACTTTTTGAACACGTCCTTTTGGCCCATATGCCGAGACAAGTTTTGCACCTGGACAAATTTCAAAAGCACGTCTTATTGGCCCGCAGGCCTAGACTAACTTTTCCATTTCACTATTTGTTTCCATTTTTTTCTTGTCACGTGGTCAATTTTCAAAAACAAACTTTTTCCCGTTATGGGTGGAATAAAGTCACCAACCCTCTCTCTCATCTTCAGGGTCAGAGAAAGTTTAGTTTAAAGTGTTTCAACTTCTTCTATCTGGAATCTATCCATGTAAATCATGCTGTCAACAGGTTGACCAAAAGAGAAGTAAAGGGTACATTATGCTCAATCCTTGTCGCCACAAAGTCTACCTATCTTTTTGGGTTTACGATCTTTATCCTTTACGTTTCTGTAAGTACTGGGCTCCTTATTTTAGAATGCTTCTAAAATATGAGCAATGGTATAGTCTTTATAATAAATTTAGATGGGGTTCATAACAATATATATATAAGGACGAAACATGTCACATGAAAACATTTTCCACTGTGTCATATATATATATATATATATATATATATATATATAGTTCGATTGATTTGAGTTTGTAACCCTGCATCAAACAAACTGATTAATATTTGAAAATTTGGGATTTATATAGGGTTGCATATATGCAACCCTATATAAATCCAAAATTTTTAAATATTAATCAGTTTGTCTGATGATCACAAAAGTGTGAAACCCAGGGTCACAAACTGAAATCAATCCAATTAAATATGTTAGCTCTATTACTGATATTGAGTGCTTTCCAATAAGTACCTCGCATATAATATATAAATAATATATATAATAAATTGCATATATATATATATATATATATATATATATATATATATATATATATATATATATTTATATACATTTCATATATATATATTATATATATTTATTTTTTTTTTGTGTGTATTGAGGGGCAATGTGCAAAATTTTGACATAAAATGCACAGAAGTCATGACCCCATTCATGTTCACATGTAAAAAGTTACCGTTCTTCAAACTACAAAGCAGTCCCCTTCTTTCCCTCTATTTGCAAACTATGATCAAAGCAAAAGGAGTGATGGAAAGTAGCCATGAAAAGAAATAGATACACAACTGTAATGAAAGAAAGAAACAGAGAGGGGAAAATAGAAAGGAAGAGAGAGACGTGATAACTATATGTCAGACAAAACTTGGCCTAAAGTTTATATTTTATTTCAGCTTGAATTAAACTTCACATAAAGTTACTTTTCTTTGAGGTGTCTTGGATTGTGGGATTGACTATCACTAGCAATGATGTTCTAATTTCTCAACAAATTTGATTCTCAAGAACACCTAAGATGTATCACAAAAGTTTGCATATAAAAGTTATGTTTACGTGTGAGCATGTGTACACACACACACACACACACATACAATGAGGATAAAATATGGATATCTTTCCTGATGCATTTATAAATTGTAAACTGTTCAATTATTAATGTTAACAATAAACTATTTTAAATTACAAAATTGTACTTGGATTAAACAAAAATTACTTACAATATAATACATATTAATACATTCCTTCTTGCTGTCAATTTTGATGGCATGGGTACACTAGTATATATATCTATATAAACATTGTTGACAAATTATTATGACTAATGACATATGGCAAAGATGACAGGTATATTCTTGTAAGAATAGCACCTATCAGGGTCAATAATAAATAAAAAGGTAAGCCAATCTCAAGTACTTTGTTTCATTATACTGAATGACCTGAAGCTGTAGACAAGAACAAAGATTTGAGTGACTTTGATAAAGGCCAGAAGACAAAGTGAGAGCATTTCTGAAATGACATGTTTTGTAGGGAGCTTACTTTCACTTGTTGTTAGTACCTTGACCAATGAGGAAAAAATCCTGTACTGCCAATAAAACATTTAGCAAGTAAGTTTTGTCAATAGAAAAACATTCCCAGACAAACATTTGGCAATGGGACATTTAACTGATGGACATTTTACCAAAAGAATTCAAGTAAAAATAGTAACAACCAATACTTGAAGTATTTTTAATTAACAGTATTAAAAGGTAGAATAGGACTAATAATTACCACTGAATTTCAAGTGATTAAATTACTAACTCTACATTTAAAGTTAAAAGTTTTCTTATTTTGATATTTGTTTATAGAAATTAGTATTTTTAAAAATATTTGAATGTATTTGGGTAAAAAGTAGCACCTAATTATTTAAATTTGTATTTAAAGATAAAAACTACTTCATCCCATTAAGATAATCATAATTAAAAGTGAAATTGAAAGATCTTTCATATCGTAAAAGCATAAGATTTTTGCTGTAGTAAAATGTGCTTTTTCTCAAAATACTTATCATCTTACAGTAATATTTGAAGTAAAATATAATATATACAGAATAGATTTTAAAAAAAGCCTGTAAAAAAACAAAAAATTATAAATTAATACAGTAAATAAATATAAATATATGTAGCACATTACAATAAAGAGTTTAACATACAGGTAAGTCCACCATTACATTTTCAGCTAAATGTCCTTTCAGTTAAATGTCCATTGGCCAAATGTCCAAGCACCATAGAAAAAAGGAATAGAGGTTTTCTGGCCAAGTATTAGTCATCATATAACATGTGGCAGTTAAAGGAGCTGCTGTTAACATCCTGGCACCAAACCCCACAGGAAAGCTTTACAGGTTTTGTAAAGTTCATGCTTAATCAATTAAGAACACAATCATTGATTTGTTTTTATTTTAACAGCTTATCAACCTTTAGTAGATTATTTAAAGCCAGAAATATTTTTAGATTAAGAATTTTTTAGAAATAATAATGATTTACTGATACAATTCCAACTAATTAATTGAGGAGAGAGATGTGGATACATAACATTCACAAGAGTATTTGTGCATAAGTAAATATAGTGAATCCAATTGGAATTGGAACTCAGCTCTCTGATTGCTAATTCTGAGCCATCATCCATTACACTATCTGTACATCCAAGCTTACAGCACTCAAGTGTCATCTCATCTAGGTACTGACCAGGCTTGACATTGCTTAACTTCAGTGATCGTGTGAGAACCAATGTTTCAATATGATATGGCTGTAAACCAAGAGCACATAGAGGAGAAAGCCTTATTAGGTTGGTGGACAATGTTTTCAATACATCTACAAGTTTATTTTGATCAAAAAGTTAAAAGCAGTAACAGAAAAACAGTACAATGTGATAGAATCAAAAATATTTTTTTATATGCTGAAATTTATACATGTTAGCTAATGTTTTTTCTTTCTTTCACAGAAATAAATTTTTAGTTGGAATGATAATTTTTTACTCTTTATGAATCCAAAGGAAGAGCTGTATTTTGAATTGAAACTAAATGGATACTAAATCTAATACTGCTATCCAAATACCTTCACCTGAGAATGTACATGTAATACACAGTTTTGTTCACAGAGTGAGAAAAGAAGAGAATGTAATAAATACAGCAAAGAGGAGAAGAAATAAAAGTACAAAGTTCATATTGCTCTCCAATTTGCTATTTAGGTAAAAAAAATGTGCTTGTGTCATATACAAGTGTTAATAGAAAGTGAAAAGAGGTAAGTCAATAAATACAGAAATAATGAAAAGAGAGGAAACACTAATAATATGAATCTGATCAGGTCAGTTCATTTTTTAAATAAATTTAAATCCATAATTATAGGTTCAAACCTTGTTGGTTTCAAATAAATTTATTTTGGGACAAATAAATACAAATATTGCCAGTGATAAGACAGGATAACTGGCAATGGGATAGTGCTTAGGAATAATTGAATTTAAGCCTTTCATTGAAGCATTAGTAAAAATTAAAAAGAAAAAGCCTTAACCAGAATTTGATCTCTGTCAATTCTGTCCATATCTCTAATGTCACCTCACACGTTAGATTAACAGACAATAACAAGCAATTAACAAGCAATTGGTATATTTTTATTTATTTTAAATACTCAACTGACCTCATAGTCTTTGTTAATGTAACTGAGGCGCCATTCATCTGAGCATTCCTTGAAGCGATTGAATTCCTCTTGAGGCAGAAAGGCTTGCCAACCATCTTCCAGGATATCAAATAAAGGTCGATAGAAAAATGGGTAAAGTAGAGCAACATCATCTGAAAAAGACGAATCCCGTGTGTACAAGAAATTGGGGGAAATGGAAGAGATCACAAATTTGAAAATTTCATATCATCTTAACTTTTTTTTTTTTTTTTTTTAAAATAAAGTACAGTTACAATATTTTTTCAAAAGATAATGACTTCAAATTTTATTTTTTTAGCATCACATCTTAGTTAATGAATTCTACCACCTTCAGGTGAAGCTTTCATCCTTATCTTGAAGATAATGTTGTCTTCATAAATAATTAACTTTTCAATTGTCTTCATAAATATATAACTTTTCAATTCAATGAAATATTTATTATTTACTAATTTATAAAGAAATAAATGTGAAAACAATGTTTTATTCATAAATTTATAAACATTTACTAAATTAATAAAATACATGAACCAACTATAATAAAATCCTTATTTAACATTTTATAAAGTTTGAATCGATTGGCAATTAGCCAATACAAATTAATATAATTAGCTAATAAATAAATAGTGCTTGATATTTTTGTTGTAAATTCTCAAGGATAAAGAAAATGTATAAATTAACTTTCATATATTTAGGTTTTATTATACACCATCAAAAATTAAAGTCAATATGCACTAAAAAAAAAAAAAAAAAAACTGGAAAATGAACAAAAGGGATTGTTCTTGAAAAAAAAAAAAAAAATAAAATAAAATTGAGAATGATAAAAAAATTTGAATATGAAGAAAGAGGAACTATTCTTGAACATGTATATTTGGCTTTTTTTTATGTTTCTATTCATGGATGACTATATATTATATTTACAACATTGAATATGAAAAAAGAACAACTGTTCTTACTATAGTTTGTAATTGATTAAAGACAGGCTGGTTTATATCCCAATATGATTTTATAAGCAGCTAAAATATGAGTAGACATTTGTGAGTTACTCAAATACTATTTGGAGATTATAATATATATATTTAATTTTATTTGTTCAATTTACATTTTGATTAGAATGGATCATAATCATGATAACAATTCTGCATAGTATTATGATTTGATAAAAATGTATGACAACATAATAATAAAAGAATTACATGTAAATACTTACCTATGTTTGATAACTGTTCCACAGAACTAGCAATGTTGATACAGGCCTCGGCAGATGGAATGTCCATCTGTATGACTGAAAAATCTTTGCAGCGGATGGTCAGTGTGCCTCCAGCACCAGATAACTTCTTTTCAATACTGTCAATACTTTGATGAAGACGCTTTGATAAGAGAAATTTAAAAAAAAAAGCCAAGTAAAAAGTTTGTAAATATGTAAAATGTGAAGTGATGAAACAGACAATAAGTTTTTTTCTTCTCATTTTGATTGCAAAAGTTTTCAGAGTCAGTAGAGATGGATATTATGTTTCCCATAACCTATTAGATTGTTGAGATGGCATGTCACATAATTCCCTTTAATAGTATCTTTCATGTTAATGGGATAGATCAGTACTTGACAGTGTTCATCTTCTCTCCAAGTAACATGACACAGGTTGTACTGAGTTACATGTTGCCAATAGCAAAGAACAAACCTTGACTTAATTTATTATCAGACATCTTTTATAAGACAAAGATTTCAACTGCCTGCTGTTTACTCACTGGTGTAGGGAGAATTGGAGTCATGCCTTTCCCAATGGCATTAGTGCAAAGTGAATGCAAATTGTCTCAGCTAGAGTTTGAACTCTATTCCTTAATTCCATTCGCCATGCCGTTAACTGTTTGGTCCCCTGAATTTCTTTTGGAGGATTCATTAAGAAAAAAAAAAAAAGAAAAATTCAAACTTGGAGAGCAATGATTGAATAATACCATATTGTTACCAAAAAGCCACAAGTTATGCTCACTGATATCGCTGGCAAACAAATTTCAATTCTTTGTCTATTGAATTAGATTTGACAGTTTTATAGAATTTGTGTGCACTGAGCACAAATTTTTACTTGGTTTTGATCTAACAGGTCCTGATTTTGCTTAGCACACCTCTTTTGTTGTATTCATAAAAAGGTTTTTCCCAATATTTGGTAAGTCTTTTTGCAGTTACACATTATGCAACCAGGTTTTTATCTAGGTATTTGTACCTATTATTATGGTATTATTGTATTATCTATACTTGTATATGTAAAGCCCTAAAATATTTTTAATTTTGTCATTTTTAACCCATTTTAATAGTAGTAAATTAAGCTAAAAATAACATAGAATTCTAAAATTTTCTTGAGTGTTCCTGTTTTCTGTAGAATATTCAACAGGTACAACTAAAATATATAAAAGTGACTCATTTCTGCAGTTAATCAAACAAGTCAGTCAGTCATTTAAGTTTGGGCATTAACAAAATTTTGAATTGGTAGCACAAACATCACTTACTGTAAGAGAAAAAAAACGTAATTAATCCACCTTTAGTGAGCAGAGATAAAATTTTTTCCTCCTCTGCATATCAAACTAGGTGTCGTTAAACAATATGTAAAAGCTTTACATATGAACGGCAAGGGTTTCAAATATATAACTTAACCCCTTCCCTGCCAATTATTTTGGGAAAAACATTTCATTTTCAGACAATTTTTTTTTATTTGTTTTTAATATAGTAACTAAGAAACTGAGGTACCTTGAAGTATCTGAGTGGTGGCTAACACCTCTACTAGATGTATGAATTGACAATTGGACTCATTTCAAGCTCAGAGGGGCATAAAAAGAATCAAGATCAACATATAAACATGTCTGTAGCTGGTTTTTAGACATTAGGTTTTGGACATGTTTATTTGTCCATGTCTGAAAAAGACACATTTGGTAAAAATGCATATACACATCTATGCCAGGGAAGAGGTTAAACTTTTTGAGGTTATGAAAAAAAAAATCAAGGTGGGAATTTTTAATGGTTCACAAATAAGAACATTAATTAAAGACAGCAATTTTCTTAATGTCATAAATGAATACAAAAAAAGATGCCTGGTTCTCATTTGTGGACATGATAGAAAACATTTTAAGCAATTAGAGCAGATAACTATATAGAAATCATTAAAAAAAATTGTAAGGGAATACAAAGAGTTAGATTGCAATATGAGCATAAAAATTCATTTTTTTAAATAGCCATCTTGACCAATTTCAAAGTAATTTAGGTGATGTAAGTGACAAACAAGGAGAGAGATTCTACCAAGATATCAAAATTATGGTGGAACAGTACCAAGGCTGCTGGGATGGCAGATTACTGCTAGTGCTTGAAAAGAGACCTGCCATCAACAAGCAAATACACTAGAAAGTCTTGTAAAAGAAAAAATTTTGCCAAATGAAAGCTTCATATCTATGATTTTTTATTTTTATTTAAAGTCATTTCTTCATTCTATTGTTATAATGTAATTTTACTGTAGTTTGAATTGCTTGTATTCATGAAACTCAAAGAAAAAATTTAACACATGACTTAATTTTTTTAATCTTAATTTAAAAAAAATGTAGAAAATAGTACATAGGTTGTTGACAAGAATCAGAATATGATTGAGCCAAATCAAGTTGAAATTCATATTCAACGCACCCAAATTACCCTGAATCAAGCATCAGATATCACACTCAATAAAATACATGTTCCCCAGTGTAATGTTTATGATGACTGCCATTATTGTCAATTCCTGTTCTTCTTTTAGGTCACTCTTGAAGAAAGGTTAAATTAAAATTGTTATCTTTAAATAGTATCAAATAGCAAAAGTAGCATTATAAAACTTCTGATTAGGCCTTTTATCTTTTTGATATCAAAGAAATAAATATATCATGTAATTATATTGAATAAAATGTTTAATTTTTACTGTAAGAACACAAAATTGTTTTCAGAGAGTTTAACACTAGTCATGTTAGGAGTTGGCCAAAGCATTTTTAACAAAGTACTTTTCCAGTTTATGTGCTTTCTTTATATAATAAAAGTTATTCAGTTAAAATTTTTGTTTATTTGTTTGTCTTTTAATATTATAAATGTATTTTTTTTCAAAATGGAATAATTTCTGCATCAATTTATTAAATTATCATTTTCATATTTATTTATTTGTCAGTTGTGTCAGATAATAATCTAACAGCAAGAGAAACATATTGCAGTTCTGAAATAAACTCGGATTTGACTAGCTTTTATTTTATTGATGAAATGGGACACTTGGTAAAAAAAATCAAAGTTGCCATACAAGTATGACTCATGTCCAGACAGGAACACTTCTTGATTTAAGTAGGCTGTAGATTTTACTTGTTTCTCATTTTATTGGTCTTTTCTTTTCCCTTTTTTTTCTCTCTTAGTCAATATAATGAAGTTATATATTTTGCTATATACTCCTACTAGGCAATGAGATAGAGAGTTGCCTAAAAAAAATTATATCTTCCTAAGTTCCATATGCACAATTACAGAAGAACCCAGTCATGTCTGTGAGATTTTAACATCTGTTATGGCATCCTTCAGCATGTTATAATCTTTCTACAGAGATAGAAAGCAAAGATTACACAGAGACTTATTTCCTTGTTTCGGTAGGAATTTGTTTTTTTGATAATGATATAGAGAATAGTAAATTGCTTAATCCTCATTTGGAGTAATTTCAATGTGTTTTTATTCTGTTTTAATGCAGTGCTCTATCTTTTACTGTGATGTGTCATAAGTAGTACTTGTGTCATGATGACCCACAATAGGGCAGTATACAAGGACAATTAAAATTCACAGTTTTCTAAAAGTCATCATTGAAAAAATGATATCAGTAATAAAAAGTTAAATTCAATTCACCAACATCATTTTCTGAATTACAATCTACTATTTCCCACCTCAAGAAGTAGAATTAATATGAACCAAGTTGTTTTGATGCATCCAACTTGATTGAAGATACAAAATTGTTGGATATGATCACAATGATGAGAAATAAAAAAGACACCATTTTACACCAATTTTGTCATTCAACTCATTGATTAGCATAATTGACAAGTTTTCTCATTCTGATGACTAACATTTTCCAAAACAATCAATTATCACTGAATATCAATTGGGAGATATAAATGGTGGGAGGCAGAAGTCTGTGTTGTGTTCTCTATACAAATGGTTTCTCTGTTGCTCTTTTGTAAATTCTTTAAGTAGCCAGACTAATACTATTTGTGTTGTTCTGCTCTTCTGTAAGCAAGAACACCAAGAAGATTATCTTTTTACTTGGAAAACTCTTAGTCCTTCCTAAATGCTTTTTTTAAACCATAAAATTCAACCTGTTAACTTATAAATAAAAGATGGCTGCAATAATCTTATTAATATCACATCTTTTATGTTAATTATTAATTTTATTGCTATAGGGATTTTCTTCTCATTGGTTGGGTATCAGCCAATCAAGGGGGATGGAAAACTCAGCAGCACTGAATCAAGCACTAGATCATAATGAGCAGGGCATGGACATGACTTTCGCAGGGGAACACCATATGTACGGAACACCAGAAACACAAACAAGGATGAATGAATTAGAAGCTACGCTGAGTAACACAAACAAAAATTCTTGATAACACCTGGCAATCCCGTTGTGTGTTCAACATGACACACTGTCAAGCTCTCTGTCTTCCCAGAAAATGTGCTTACTTTTATGGAGTCTAAAGCTTTAGCAGTTGGCTAGCAAAGGAATCTAACACTGCTCAGCTCACCATCACGACTGGAGAAGCTGGTAAACATTTTCTTTCTTCATAACCAGACATGCTGGGGTTCATACTGGCTCTGGCAGGGCAGCTATGAGCTGTCTTTGTGCAAAGACAGCATCATCATCTCTTTGACTGATATGGGTGCATACCATTATCAGTAACGCCTGCATTTCATTTCTGCTACATTTATGTTATTAATTTTATTGATGTCACATATTTTATGTGTGCAGAGAGCAAATGCATTGAAACTGTGTCACAAGACATGAAAATTTTTATCATTTAAAAAAAATAATAATTCTTTATAAATTTTTAGAATTTATTCAATATTTGACAGAAATGGTCAAAGAATTATACAGAAATTAAAACTTCTGCCATCTATATGATGTCAAAATATTTTATATTTACCCTTTTATTTCCTTTTATTATTCACCTACTGTCTTTCACTCTATCCCAGATTTGCTGACATTAAAATACAAATTAAAATATTAACTTCTTTGATACTTTCTAGAATAACCAGCTACTTTATCTTAAATAAACATTGTGCATAGTGCTTATAATTTTTCTAGGGCAGATAAATGGCTGGTGATAACTTAGTGTTTTGGGGATT